GCCTCTAGGGACCTCAAAACGAAAAAAAAATCAGTCCCGCGTCCAGGTCTTACCATGAGTACTACGGTAATAGCTTATTCCCTATATGGGAAATTCGCTAAAACTATATCGATTGTTTTATAAGATTTTATATTACTTACATTGTAATTCTACAATATAAAACTTGCTATAACTACTCTATTTAATTACCTAAATAAAAAACATTAGTTATTATTACCGATTTTGAAACAATATTTCATTGAAAAATTATTTCTCGTTAGATCTATAAAATGTTCATTAGGAGAATTCATTAAAGAAATTTGGTTTTTTCGTTTAACATTGTATAATTTCCAATTAAGATGACACACAACACCATACACGTTCAACATAGAACATAGAACCAGGTATTAACTATGTTTGCACAGACACCAAGAGCACAAACACATTTCATACTAATTAGCCTACAAAGCCAGAGTACATCAGCAAACATGACAAATATTTATGTTATATTTGCCTACTACTTAGTAGTTTAAAGATTGCCTTTTTCCCATTGTAAATAAAGACTACTACGAGTAAATCATAATTATTTGATTTTAGAAATATAAGTCTCAAGGTTTTACAAAACGTGGCTATTTTAGGTAATTGTTCATACTAGTACATTTCATGACAACATTGATTGAATCGGGCTCAAAAATAGACTAACAGGAAATTCTCTGAGTAGGCAGGTTGGTTGTGAGTGGGTTATTCATCACATCAAGAATAGGATACGCTTCAATTTCCTACACCGTAACGCAATTTTAAAACTTTCATTATTTTATTTCTACTATTTTGAATTTTATTTATCAAAAAACATGTTTAGAAACAAAAAACAATTAATAGCGTTTAGTTATTAGGTTTGTAGCGAAAAGTTTTGCACTTAACTCATTCGATGCAGGGCTGTATTTTTCATCCCGATGGTACAACAATCTGCTGGAGTCAAGGACGTTATCTATACATATCCTGATTTTAAAATTCGTCCGTTAATTTCTCCGATAAATAAAGAGTTTAGAAATATATATACTATCTTTTGTCATTGTGGCATTTTTTGTCATACTACGGAATAAACGGTTGTTTTCAATTCATTATGCAATACGGGTTAGGGGGGCAAAACCAAACATTTTTTGGACAAATTTTTTTCTGCTGATTGTTATTCTCCTTTTAATCCCTTTTACAATGGTACAACGTTTATATATGTTATTATTATTGTAAGTTCTTTAAAAAAACGTCGCAACAGCTAGTTTCCAGTCCACGTTACTCCAAAAGTTGAGGTAGTATACAAATTACATTTAGAAAAAAAAAATGTTGAGAAAAAGTGACAAAGCAGCTGAAAGTATCATGAAGTAGACCAGAGTAACTAGAAGAAAAAGAAGGCTCGTGCATAGAGTGGATAAAGAGGTAGCATTATAATCCTCAATAAGGACGGGCCTATTCTATGATAAATATTGCTTGCGGTAGGTGATACAGGGTTGTACCACCTGTGTTTTCCGAAAGTTCAACTTTTTTATGACAAAGGTACACATGTCTCTGGAACTAATTTACCTAGAGACTTGACATTTTTATACATAATTTTTGTGTTATAAGTAACATTTATACCCATTTTTGTTAATTTTACATTGCTAGTTTTGAAGAAAAACTACGTCTTGTGAAATTTATAAAGCTTTTAATGTCTAACAAAAAAAAAAAAAAAAAAAAAAAAAAACTTGTTAAAGGTAATACCATTGACTTAAATTAAAATTCTTAAATTGGGTCTGTTTACACACAAAGAGTTGATAATTATAGCCTACAATTTTGAAAGCCATAGCTTTACACCTTTTGAAGAAAGGTGTACCCAAAGATGGCAAATTTAACATTGGCGAGATAGGCCGTTCCCGCTCCCCTTAGTATTTTTTATCTTTATCTTTAATTAGAGGAAGAATAAGATGGAGTCAATGAAACTAACGGTACATTTGGATGATTGTAAACATTCTTCCACTGAATTTTCCGAAGAAACAAAAAACATGTCGTAATATTTTGTTTAATTTATCACACCCTTAACTGACTTATTTGCTTTAATCTCGCCTCTTTACCTTTATTTAGACAAATATTCAAAAGGTACAGTGATAAAATATGAATTTATAATAGCGAAGAGTTGCATCCAAATAACTTCAACAACGGTTCGTGTATAATAGCGGAACAAGAAGGAACCTATTTCGTAGGCTATAGATATAAACAATTTACAAAATTTACGTTTTGTGAATCACTTTGCTCGAATAATGGTGCAATGTGACTTAAATATAGTTTGTTACACGAGTTTAAAAGTGTCTTTTTCGACCATTTCTATTTCCTATAATTACACTAGAGACCATGTAAAAATTTGTTATTTTATCAACTTGGCCGTGCAATATTCATTTTCTTTCCCAAATTTAAGAAATAAATGAGAACAGTTCAATAAATAGAAAAACATCTGCAGAAACATAGATCTGAACAAATGTAATTACTTTATTCTAAGCAAACACAAATGACTTATATAAACCATATCGATACAAGCACAAGTCACCTGGGAGTTGTGTAGGATTCTATCAGCTGATTTATTACCCCTTTGATGTTCCATGTATAAAGTGAATATTCAAACTTCACACGAAGTGTCTCCAACGAGAATTTCAGCTTAAATTTTCCCATGACAAAAATGAAACACCCACAATAGCAAATTAATTATTTAGTAAATTTTTAGTTACAATATTTAACTGCATGTCCTTTTTTATAAGTTTTAATGATATAAGATATAAGACGATCGATTCAGCTATTTCTTATTCGATATTTTTTAACTTGGTATCGTTTGATTGGGGATTAAAAATTCCAAATAAAATTATAATTGACTTTTTTTTATAAAATCAGCCATCTTTGGAAAATTTAAGTCTAAAAGTTTAAGATGGCCGCTATTTTGAAATTTTAAGTTGCATCAAGATGATTTTTCTTTTAACATGGGTCTCTTACCAAGATTCAAAAAGATTGGTTAAAAAATTCAAAAATAAAAATGTTTTTGTAAAAAATACAAAATGGCCGATATCCAGTTAACAATGTGATTTTGAAAAAAAAAATATTCTTGATTTTCTCTTTATTTTGACTCAAGGAATCAATACGTAAATTATGTCCACACCTTTTTTAACAACCTGTATAATTCACAAGTATGAGTTTCTAAATAAAATACATTCAGAGTCCAAACCCCCTTCTAGAGGGACACTGTAGCTTAATATATGATGAAATAAATGCTATCTGTTGCTGAATTTCAAAACATCTTGCTTTGAAATTCATCTGTATGTTATTCTGAGCAAGTTAGAAATTTTGATTGACATAAGATTAATGGTATCTACGAAATTTTGTACGATTTAATCTAGGTCTAATTGATAAAAGTGTTTGCAACAGCTTGCTACAGTTGGTATCAAATTAACATGGTTTAAACATTCCGCTATACAGCCGAAATGTATGCAGAATACTTTTTTAAATCCCCAAAGCTTGGTGAACCACGTCTTTAACCAAATCCCTATATTGTATGAAAGTGAATAAAAATATTTTTACACAATCTTTCAATAAAATGTTTTAGTTACTAGATTTAAAATTTGAGGGTCATTTTATTTCAACCACCATAAAATTAAAGCTAAGGACAACATCCTAGTTCTGTGTTACTCACCCATGGACACCAGCCGTGGTTGACCTGCCAGGAGGTTGCTTGTAGGGTTGTGGCGGTGGTGTTGGGAGGGTTGGGGGTGATTTGTTCCACACGGCACACAACAACATCTTAGTTAGTTCTGTGTTACTCACCCATGGACACCAGCCGTGGAGGACCTGCCAGGGGGTTGCTTGTAGGGTTGTGGCGGTGGTGTTGGGAAGGTTGGGGGTGATTTGTTCCACACGGCACACAACAACATCTTAGTTAGTTCTGTGTTACTCACCCATGGACACCAGCCGTGGAGGACCTGCCAGGGGGTTGCTTGTAGGGTTGTGGCGGTGGTGTTGGGAGGGTTGGGGGTGATTTGTTCCGCACGGCACACAACAACATCTTAGTTAGTTCTGTGTTACTCACCCATGGACACCAGCCGTGGTTGACCTGCCAGGAGGTTGCTTGTAGGGTTGTGGCGGTGGTGTTGGGAGGGTTGGGGGTGATTTGTTCCACACGGCACACAACAACATCTTAGTTAGTTCTGTGTTACTCACCCATGGACACCAGCCGTGGAGGACCTGCCAGGGGGTTGCTTGTAGGGTTGTGGCGGTGGTGTTGGGAAGGTTGGGGGTGATTTGTTCCACACGGCACACAACAACATCTTAGTTAGTTCTGTGTTACTCACCCATGGACACCAGCCGTGGAGGACCTGCCAGGGGGTTGCTTGTAGGGTTGTGGCGGTGGTGTTGGGAGGGTTGGGGGTGATTTGTTCCGCACGGCACACAACAACATCTTAGTTAGTTCTGTGTTACTCACCCATGGACACCAGCCGTGGAGGACCTGCCAGGGGGTTGCTTGTAGGGTTGTGGCGGTGGTGTTGGGAGGGTTGGGGGTGATTTGTTCCACACGGCACACAACAACATCTTAGTTAGTTCTGTGTTACTCACCCATGGACACCAGCCGTGGAGGACCTGCCAGGGGGTTGCTTGTAGGGTTGTGGCGGTGGTGTTGGGAGGGTTGGGGGTGATTTGTTCCGCACGGCACACAACATTATCTTAGTTAGTTCTGTGTTACTCACCAATGGACACCAGCCGTGGAGGACCTGCCAGGGGGTTGCTTGTAGGGTTGTGGCGGTGGTGTTGGGAAGGTTGGGGGTGATTTGTTCCACACGGCACACAACAACATCTTAGTTAGTTCTGTGTTACTCACCCATGGACACCAGCCGTGGAGGACCTGCCAGGGGGTTGCTTGTAGGGTTGTGGCGGTGGTGTTGGGAGGGTTGGGGGTGATTTGTTCCGCACGGCACACAACATTATCTTAGTTAGTTCTGTGTTACTCACCCATGGACACCAGCCGTGGAGGACCTGCCAGGGGGTTGCTTGTAGGGTTGTGGCGGTGGTGTTGGGAGGGTTGGGGGTGATTTGTTCCGCACGGCACACAACAACATCCACGGCAGCAGGCACGTCACTACCAGTAGAGCGTACGGGCGGTACAGGGACATCGTGCTCACTCAGCCGATCTCGAACTCCAACTCCTGACCTGCGGAGAAAAGTTCCACATTTTTTTAAATTTTCTTAAACTCAAAACAGCAGTTAGTCCATATTTTTTAAAAATTCTTAGACTTAACACAGCAGTTACATCAAAATACTACTGATACTAAGAGAGTAGTTAAACACTTTTCCGAGGCTCTGAATTACATTATTTGCCGGGAATTGTTCGAAACATATTATGAAAACATTTTGAGATTTGATAGAATGCCCTTTCAAAACTATATCACTCTATGTTTATTTTATATTTGTGCTATAGTATGTTAGATGAAATTGTTTAAAATATATTTACTGACAGACAAATTGAAATTGGGTACTTAAGTCTTAGTAAACTAGTCATACTTATTTTTTACTAGAATAGAACATAGTTGGGTCAGCAGGCATGTTAGTCTTTCCTATTTTAAAGTGTGGCACGATTGAGGCTCTATCTTAAAGATGCTTATAGAATGATAGTTGATGAATTGGAGGAATAAAATAGGTAATAATAAGTACGCCCTTTCAATTTAACACGATTCAAAAACATTTAATGTGCAGGTATTCTACATTTTACAGCTGCAAACCTTCTGAAAAGGGTGATTTCAATATGTCCGATTATTTGTTAGGTTAGGTTAGGTTAACTGGCTACTTTCGTAACACTAAGAACTTAACATTAATGTATCTCTAGTCAAATCTTAAAAAAGTACATGTAAAAAATAAAGAAAACACTGTAGAATATTTCTTTACCTCCCATCGTGCCCTTAGTCGTCACGCTCCCATCATACGCTGTACTTCTTCAGTGTGTAAACACGCAGAAGGTGGATGGGAAAGTTCTTGCGTCGGACTACTTTCTTTCTCCAAATGAAGACGACCATGGTCAGAGCAGCCCTCGAGTTGAGTCCCCTCAGTCAATCTGTAAGTGGATAAATAAAAAAAATATATCAAATAACTATAGGTAAACCCACATCCAGAACACTGGTAGTATACACTTACAATACCATATATTTAAAAATATCTCAGAGATAACTTAGGTTTGAGGCTACTAATCAGCTGAGGGAAATTAATCAGACCTTATAACATACTCCTCATAAATTACTTTATTAACAGTATACTTCTTCCTGTATACAAAACTAGCATAGTACCCGTCCTTCGTACGGGGTTGGCAAAATGCTTATTGCAGTTTACTCGTGCTTTGCGTTTGAAACGGGAGAGGACACGGTTTATGAAAATTTGGTTCTTTTAATTTATGGTATGCTATAGTATAGCACATTACCATAGCAATAATGTTCTACCCCTGCCCCTAAACACTAAAAAGTGAAATTTTCTTTTTTCACAGATTTTGTCACTAATTGGTTTAAATTAGCGGTTGTCATAAATGCCAAAAAAATAATAGTGCCACACCCTGTTGGTAACCCTTATAACTTCGTAATGCTGTTTAATATTATAGAACCAAATTGTGTAGTTGAAACAGCTGACAAAATTCTTTTATTCCTTTTAAATATGAATACTCATAAGGTTAACATGGGAAACTCCAGAGCCACTGGGGCAGAGGCCGAAAGGGGTTTTGAGATAAGAATGCGTCTATATGTTAATCGGGAATGTGAACTACCATCGCACCAAATTTCAACCCAATCTGACCAGCATTTTCACGTTTACTTGTCAAAATCATCCATCCATCCATCCATCCATCCATCCATCCATCCATCGATCCATCCATCCATACATACATCCAAACTTTCAAACTTATAATATTAGTAGGATTGAAATTATGTTGTTAGTTGTTCATTAAAATATTTAAACCAGAGCGTTTGATTTTTCGTCAACCACATTCTTTTAATCTTAAATCTTCAACGTAGACATTTTGAGTGGACGCCATTCCTTCCAAAAACCCCATTTTTTAGTTTCTAATGTTCATTTAACAAAGAGATTGAAGCATATTCCGCCAACAAATTTGATTCTTTCTTCCATCGTTTGGATTTAATCAATGATTGTGAACCTTTTTCTGGAAACTTGTATTGATTAACACATGTAAAACAAATTAACCTCAAACAAACAATAAGTGAACAATAAACCAAATAAGTTAAATAAGTGAGTACCAACTATATTCTGTCAATACAAGCAGAAAACAAAGTTTATAATTTAAACAGTTAGGCTAAGCAAATGATCAGGAAATAAGTATATATTAAACACCATATACACAATTTAAAATGTTTTATGAATATAGCACAATGTCTTTGGCACTTTAATTCCTCATTTACAGTGACATATCAATTTTACATGTACAATGTAAATTAATTGTTCAATCTGTATGATGTAACCCCTATCAGTGTCAGTTAAAATAGTTTATTGAACAGTTCATCAATTTTATCCATTTATTGAGATGGGAATTTTGAGGGAGTGCTGTGGGAGAGGGAGAATTTATTGAGGGGAAGGGGGCTTTTATTGAGGGGGGATTTATTGCGCTTCTAGATGCGTATTTTAACCCAAATATGAGTGAAGGATGAGTGTAGAATGATGTGATCTGTGTAGCTTTGTTCTTGACTAAGATCAGCTGTTTCATCAGTCAAGATCATATTTAGCCTATGAATCAGAGTGCCCAGTTTCGAACCATCAAAAAGCTACCAACTTTTCTCAAGATCAAACCGTCGGCCTTTTGATTACTGGGCGAGCACTATAACCACTCATCTACCCAGCCAATTTATTAAAAATAGCCTTTTCCAACCTTTACGATTCATCGCTCTCTATTCAACCCATATAGGCCTACAACCTATTAAAAGTAAGAATAGATCATGCTTTTACCTTTTAATGACCCCTTACAACTACATATTTCCAAGTTTTTCATTTTATTTCACCCATACCGTTGTTCACTGCAAACTGACTGACTGGTTTAAAATAAGTTGCCGTGAAAAGTGGACGACCCAAAGGCAATAAAAAGTGGACAGAGGTTTACGTCTGATAATAAAACTGGTCTGTCGACGGTTTTATTGCCTGCAAACTGTCGACCGATTTACGGTCTTTAATACCTCGTAAAGGCCATCCTTCAGGGCCAAGCTAAAATAGTCTTTAAGATACCCTTTATGGCGATAACGATAACATCTCTATTACTGACCTTCATAACGAACTTGTCGATCAGGTCACGCATTTCTATTTGATTCACACAAAAAATGTTACATGAACAGCTCACCTAAAACGATTGTGTTTAATGATTTTAAACTCTTAAGTTAAAATTTTATTAAATAAACCCGTAACTAACTTTAAAACAACATTTTAAGATGCAATCTGGCATAAATAGTTACCAGATATCAGCCAAATACCTGGAATAAAAATTGTCAATATGAGAAAGTGGTTTCTTGTATTTGTTTAAGCCTATGTATGTAATCATGAAAAGGATGCTACACTGGATGGGTAGCTGAGTGGTTATAGCGCTCGCCGAACAATAAAAAGATCACCGGTTCAATCCTGAGAAAAGTCAGTGTCTTTTTGATTGTTAGAAACTGGACCCAACTGTTTCTGATCATTGGGCTTTAAATCAATGATCCTGACTGCTAAAACATCTGGTCTTAGTGACAAAGCTACACAGATCATCTCACACCATTCTACACTCATCCTTCACTCACTCATATTTAGGTTAAAATACGCACCAAGGTGGCGTCCCCATCTCAATGATTGATAATTAATAATAATAAATTTTGATGATCGAAAGAAGTGGGGGCCGAAGCCAAATACCGCCTAGGGTATCGATGGAGTAATTCTAAAAGTATAATATATGTATATATTTACGCATGTACGGACGTATTTATTGTAAGCCCATACAACAATTTTAAAACCTTTCATTTGGTCACGGAGTTCATTGATAAGACTTAAAATTTAATCAAAGTTAAATTTAATAAACCTGTATACAATTCTCCTAATATTTTGTAGCGCGTTTTAAAAGTCCCCTCAATTATGAATGTTAAATGTCAACAATGCATCGGAGTCTATCAGTGATTGGTGATTAATGATAGAATATTGACTATAAAACGATAACAGAGGCGTCGATGATCCAGCAATTCATCATTGTTGAGCTTGTTTTTGGAGAGGGATTCTGTTAAATATTTAAAACTTTCAATTTAGATGTTTAACAGTTTGATCATTGTATCATGTTTTATAGGCTAATCAGCTTCCAATAATTTCTTTCTGAGTTTTTGTTAGCGTTGTTTAATGTTGTATGTTATCACCTTATTTAAAGGAGAGCATTTTTTTACTTTAGAAATCAATCTTTAAGAACAGTTTATTTTTGTTTCTGTGGAATACATAGGAGCTAGAAATTTGTTTCATGATAGGTTTTCATGTGTTTCGTGTAATCCAATAGCAAAAACGTGGTGTATGGTAATTTGTAACTAGTTAATACTGTTTTTACAGTATTATTTTTCTGCTTGATTAACTCTAAGATCAACGTAATTCAAATTATATAAATCCATTAGTTGCAGATATGTCAAGATTCTCACTTTAAAATTCAAATGCTGCTGGATTACTTTCTAGAAGAGTCGTTGCTTGTTTCAATTAACATTTGTAGTTTTGCATGTCTTTAACACGGTGACTACTGGCATCACTCTCCTCTTTAAAGGATGCCTTGAGTTGCCTGTGATAATCAAATCGAAACAAAAATATAACAGTTAAATTATTTTTAAAAATATACTAGAATACTTAAAGATACTACAACTAATATTAGCAGTGTTTCCCACCTTTTGACTATTGATACTACGACAGTATTTAGTACCAGTTTTGAAAATCAATAGTTATTAAAGAGTTTGGTAATGTTATAAAATTAACCAAATTTTACTTAAGCATGTGAATTTATTTACAACAAAAATGTATTATGAGTAAAATGTCATAATTTTGCTTCGAAATAGCATAACTATCGGTAATGTTTTTTTAGTTTATAGGGGTTTCCTCGTAAATAATGTTTGTATTCAATCATATAAACGCGCTGGTCAATCTAAGCGACTTATAGATGGTTCTACAAGCACTCGCTAGATTGAACATTCACTTTATTACACAGAAAAGGCTTAACTCTGACTGAGTTTTTACGATCAACTTTTGTAAAGTGCTTAGATTTTATTGCTACTGTAAATCAAGTGATCTTTAAGATGGTTCGGCAATTGCGGTTGTAATATTACTGCTAAACTTTGTTTAACCAGAACAAACACATTTTGATCAAAGAATGAATTGTATCAAAATATTAATGAATTGTATAAATAAATTTTTAGTTAAATTTTGACAAGTCAATACTATTAATGAACTACTAATTTGGAAAAATTTAGTAGTATTGTATAAATACATAGTATTTTATAAATTGATTGTAAAGTGTAAGGGAATAAGTAGGTAAAAATTTATAATGATAATATTTACCTTAGGTTTTTTATATGTTGTATAAATAGTTCGTTTCGCGTAAAGGATTTCAGTTACGCACTACATAATTTGAAACCTTATAATAAACTTTAAAAGGTTCTTCCATTGGATACGTTGATAAGAGAAGTGAAAACTTGAAAACGCTATGTTCGAAGTGACGCTTTGCTGCACTTGAGAGATGTTAACACACGAGCCAAAGGCCAGTGTGGAAAGTTACTTGAGTGTAGCAAAGGCACTTTGCCCTCGCGTTACACATTATATTTTTCTTACATTTACTATAAATCGTATAAATAATTAGTCTTTCAAACACTGTACAACACGTTTTTAAGTTAGGTCAAATCCAAACATTGAACAAAATGGGAAACGCTGCACGCTGATCGTATTCGTATAATCTTGAAGTGTTGCCAACTTATTTTCAAGCGTACACGGATTACTTGCCTAATACGTGTATTAACATATTAGTGTTGTTAGTTTGAAATACTGGAATGCGGTAAAAATGAGTAAATGCAGCAAATTGGCTAA